TTTGTTAGTCAACTTCCTATTTGAGAAGAACTCATAGACACAGAGCCTGGATATTTTATTAGTGTATTTTATACTGTACACATCAGCGCTGGAGAAGAGATGGAAAATGCTCATTCATGCAATCTCTTCATGCTTGGGTCTAAGAGTCACATCTATTCATTTCTTTCAGAAAATAATGCTGTCTCTGCCTCACTGGTCCTGATTAAATAGATAAAGGCAGTGTGCAAATTCCCTTGCTGCTTACTATCATTCCCTCCATTTACCCTAGAAGAAAACTGTGCAACAAACTAATACTCACAAAATCTTCTTGATAGTCTGAACAGTGCCCCAAGGTAGGTAAAAGAATGAGACCATGAGTAACAGTGCCATCTGGTGACTTCTGAAACAATATTCAATTGGTTCTTAAAAAAGGTCTTTTTAGCAATAATAGTGTTTTGAAATATTCACAACTACAAAAGGCTGTTGGAATTGTCACAGAAGTCATATGTGGTTATTCTTAAATGCAAAATTAAAGAGACAGTACAAGCCTAATTCTGCTCCTACTGAAGTCATTGGAAGCAGTTCCCTGTATCTAGGACTCTGGGTAATTTGAAATGTGCCTAATACTGAAAGGGTTTAATATATTTTCCATCAAAAGCACCCATGAGTGGGCAAATGAATATCAAAAGTTTTGGGGAGTAGACCCCCAGCTGATGCATGTTATCATAGCTCCTGTGAAGTTCATGAAGGAGTGACCATTTATAGCAGCTGACGATCTACCTGTTGGTACTGTTTGAGCTCAGTTCTTCTTCGTGATGACTTAGCCTGCACTAGAATAGGACGGAGCACAGTGGTCTAGTAACAGCATGGCTCAACACCAGTATTCACCAATGAACACCACCCATATTATATGCAATACACATGGTGCACGTGTTCATTTTCACTTAATATAACTAATACAATCTTGAATGAAAATGAAATGATAATGTAAACCTGGCAGCCAAATCATAATAACAACAACTAATAATGGTTTTATCTTCAGGAGCCCTACACTTTTGATTTCCTCCTAGAAATGATGCTGTCTGCTGTGAGTGTTAACTTGGTGTGCTCATTTCCATGGCATTAAACAGACAGTTTACGAACTGTAGGCACATACAGCAGCATACAAAACATCAATATTGTCTTCTTTTCTAATTTAGCGATTTTCCATTCCCTCTAATAACTGGGACCTTACTATGTGCCACAAGTGACTGGGAGACTCAAAGGATAACAATGCTCTTAAACAAACAAAGTATTTGAATACACATAATTTTTTTAAAAAGGAAGGCTAACGGATCAGAGACCCTGCCTCATTCATTGATAAGGGTCTGATATAGCTCTGTTTTCATTCTTTATGCTATATTATGTCCTACTATATAAGCAAATATCCTTCTACCAGCCACCTTAGACTCTTTGTTATTTATTAACACATGAGGTGAACCCACTGAGCGCTTATGGATTAGCAGAGTGAGAATTACAACATATCTACTTGACCAGTGGTAAATACTTTTTTGATAAATCCAGTTGGTTATTTCTGTGACTCCAGTAACCACTCATATTGCAGTATCTCACAGACATTAGGAGGATGGCTCCTCTGCTAGTTACTTCACTTTGTTCTGTGTTTGCAGCTGCTATGCATTAAAGCTCCCTCATAACTTTAATTTATGCCAGGGCCAGCTGAAACAGAATGAAAGAGTTTTTTAGGGAATTGTGATTGTCTGGCCATCATTTTGTCTCGTGAGCTTCTTAACATCACCCAACCTCTGTCAGGAGGCAATGAAGAAATCAGCCATACCTCCATAGTAACTTTGTGAAAATAATATTAGCACATTCTACACATGAGACAGTGAGACACGGTTGGCTAGGTTGTGACTCGCGGCATGAAAGGGAGAAAAGAATACTTCTTACACTTTACTTTTTGCACATTTTGGTGCAGAGGTAGGTGGGTGTGTGGGAAAGGGCCAATAGCCTTGTTTCTGCACACACTGGCCAAATATTGGCTAGCAGTAAATTCCTACTGTTAAGAGTCAAGGAAGTAACTTGGATATATTTTTTTAAGGTCTTGTATTCACTGCAACAGGTAGCTGAAGCTACTCAACTCATACTCGCCTAGTTTCACCAAATGATGTCATGGTTAGTGTAGAGGCATTGGATTAGCAGCTGATGAAAACTGTTAACTCATGCTCTAACCAGCATCTCCAGCTTCATTGCAATGCTAATTTAAAGGCCAGCATTCAACTCCCTGGCTGGGCAGCTAGCTGAGTTTAAAGTGCCAATTAACTTGGGATAGTGGGGTTTTGTTGGTTTTTTTTGGACATATGTGGATCAAGATAGGTATAATGCTCAAATTGTATCACAAGTTAACACTTCAGTTACCGCAAGCCCTTGAGGTGTGAATTGGTCCAAAGCAAAACACTCAAAAAGGCAAATGATAGATGAAGCATGGTAAAAACAACCGAGTATATAAAGATGCTGTTGATAGCATATTGAGCACATTGCTTTTAAAAATGGCCCTCAATCTTTTTATCTGGATACAAAACTATGCTTAAGGTATGCAGATAGTTTATTATAGAGTGAGTCCTAGATGAATACTGATAAAGAGTGAAGTAGAAAGGGCTGGGTTTTTTTCAAGTTCTCACAAGCATTAAATGATTTCCTTTCAGCTTGTGCACAAGTTAGGATGCATTTAAAACCTGAATTCCATTGGTTGGAGTCCGCTGCTACTTCAGAGGCATAGGCATGAAATATTGTTTAATTTATTTAATCAGCTTTAAGATCAGAGATAAAAAAAACAGAACACATGGGAAATAAGATGGTAATTAGGTAGCAATATTCTGTGCCTGTTTTGATAAACATTTTTAGATGAAGACAGTATCACCAGTTGCAATAATTCGGAAATCCTTAGATTGATGTAAAAACCATGAGATTGCTTTAAAAGTCTTGAGATTTAAAAAAATATTTTGTGATTTCTTTATTTTCCTTAGGAGGGTCCATATTTTCAAGCTTTACTCATATGGATTAGAAACTGGCTTTTAAAAAAAGTGGCAATTCTCACAAAATCATGTAATTCCAGGAGGTAGAGCTTTCAGAAGGACCCCAAATATTGATAAACTTGTATTAAATGAATCAGAAGAGTAGGTCATACTATGGAAGACCCATACTAACTTTAGTAGATTCTAACAAGAATTCCCTTCACAAAAAATTCTGTTAAATTGATTCTGCGTTAAATCAATGGACAAAGTTCCCAGCAACTGAAACTCATTCTGTTTATTCATGGACCACTACCACTCAAGAAGAACCTTGTCTTTCAGAATTAGACATTAAAAATATGATAAAAGTAATCAGAAAGTTAAATCCTCAAGCAGATTCACTTGCTGGGGAATGAACATATGAATGTGATTCATTAGATCTAGAAATCCTTCTCAGGCAGATGCTATGCTGCAGCTGAAATATACAACTGCCATGAGATAACTTGTTTAAAATTGGCAGGAAAACATGGAAAGAAGTCAAGAGTCAACTGTATATACAATTATATTAAAAGAACCTGATGAAGGTTGCAAAGTCAAGTGCTGCAAAACTAGGAAACATCAGAATTAATGTTCCCTGTGCAATATTAATTCAACTGCCTCTGGCGTAAGCTCCCATCCAATCTTTTGTTACTTGATTACATTCCATCTTTTCTACAATATGCCTTCCTCAAGCAGTGTGGCTATCACTAAGATCAAGTCACCATCATAACTCCTCCTGGGGGTTTGGGGGTAACTGCACCTCAAGCTACTGACAGGCAAAACTCATGACATAGATGACACTGTGTGTGTTAAGGTGCAGCAGGTTGAAAACTGCAGGGGTAGTGGCCCCTGCTGAGACCACAAAGCCTGCCAGCTGTCAAAGAGATAGGTGCAGGGGGAGTTTCCCTGCATCTCTGGCTGCTGACAGGCAAAACTCATGACATGGGTGACACTGTGTGTATTAAAGTGTAGCAGGGTGAAAGCTGCAGGCCTGCTAACCCCTGCTGAGGCCATGAAGACTGCCAGCCTCAAGGAGTTGCACAGACAAAAGCTGCAGGCCTGCTAACGCCTGCTGAGGCCACGAAGCCTGCCAGCCTCAAGGAGTTGCACAGACAAAACTCATGACATGGGTTCTTGTGCAACTGACTGTCTCTGTCTGGGGGCAGTAGATTGTCTGTATTGATTATTTCCCCTCCTTAGTCTGTGGTTTAGTAGGTGTTAAACCATGCTCGTTAATTCATTATGTAGTAATTAGGTACTGTGCATTGAGCTGGTCCCTGAGAGAACCATGATTAATTGGTAACTAGTAACACAGTAGCTTAGCAGCCAGGCCTGCAGTAGTTAACCCCCCTGTTCCCCAAGACAGACAGTTGCACAAGCAACCATGTCACAAATTTTGCCTGTCAGCAGGTTGGGGCGCAAGGCCCCAGAACTCAGAAGCCCTGCACCAATATCCTCAACAGCTGACAGGCTTCATGGCCTCAGCAGGGGCTATCATCCCTGCAGCTTTCATCCTGCTGCGCCTTAACACACACAGAGTCATCTATGTCACAAGTTTTGCTTGTCCGCAGCTTGAGGTTCAGTTCTCCCCAAACCTCTGCACTTCTCTTCTTGAAATTTGGCAGGCTTTGTGGCCTTACCAGGGGCCACCATCCCTGGAGTGTTCACCCTGATGTGGTGTAACACATACATGTGACATGAGTTTTGCTTTCAAGAATTTGGGGTGCAGTTCCCCCCGAATCCCTAAACCAATCTTCTTGAAACTTGGCAGATGTTATGCACTCAGCAGAGGCTACCAGTTCAGCAAGTTTCATCCAAATCAGAGACAAAACAATGAAGGTATAGATATTTAATTGATTCCCCATTATACCCTATGGCAGTATCTCCGAGGCAGCTCCAAAGCTCCGGAGCCGCTTGGGCCGGATCAAAGCGGGAACCCAGTCTGGAGCTCCAGATCACATTGCTGGCATCTGAAGCGGCCAGATCTGAAGCCAGATCGAATAGCTGCCTACTTGCACAGGCTTACTGCCTAGGGGCCACCAGAACTGATTGTTCAGGAAAATAGAAACTTAACTTCCACTCAGTTTGGATTTGGCAATTTTCTATTTTAATCAAAGGGAAAACTGCAACCCTGTATATCTAGCAATAGGCAGTGCTATTATGACCATATCTAGCAATAAATGGTGCTGTTATGACCATATAACAGCAGCACCTGTAAGATTTCTACAATGACTGAAAACAGGATGTCCAACCAATACAGCAAACTGCTGGTTTCAAAGAAAATTCATACTATGCCAAAACTGATCCTGATATAAGAATGTCTAGTTAATTCTCTTTTGTAGTACAGGCAAAAACCACTATGACAAGGTACATTCTATGATTGGTTTCTCTTTTGTTGCCCTTCTCTGTGGGGTTTTACAATAGTGTTCAAAGAGAACTTTTCTGTATTAGTCATTTAATAACTGTAAATACATATCTCATTCCCACCCTTGGTTCTGGACTGAATACAATGCTGATGAGGAAATAGCATTTAAACTTCAATCTTGAAAGGTTTATGCCTTCCAAGAATAAGTGGGAGAGCTTCTGGCATATTCTTTGGTAATGAAAGAGTTGCCAGTTTTAGTTAGCAGAGAGGACAATTGCATTCATTCTATGGTGGCAATACCTGGCCTCTAGAAAGGACATTAAAGGATTACTGAGTCTCTTTGTGTAGGCAGAAAAGTATCTGCCTTACAGTGGAGCTGGACAAGCTGTCAGGCTTTGAGGTTAGTCCTGACAAGTCCTCCCGTCGAAGGAAGGCCATTCAAAGGAAGTGTTGGAGAACAGAGGATCCAGAGAAAAAAATGACTGTTCTGACTAAGAGGTCTTTTGCAGAGGTCTTGTGATGACAGAAACTGTGCCAAGTCACGTTCAGACTCACAGGACTGGTGGAGTGAGGCCTGTCTGCAATTGTAGGCCATTCTTTCCAGTAAACTTCCCTGGAAGCTGGAAAATAAAACCCTGCTTTTGCTGGACTCTCAGAATCGTGGTGGGTACAAACCTTTATTCAAAACTTGGCTTGTAATGGAAACCTTGTTTTAACCCTAGCATGAATGCATGGACCAATAATAAACCATTAAAAATACACTGTCAGGGATAGCTGTAGAAGATGGAGTAAATAGGGCCTTACATGCAGTATGGAGATGAAAAGATCTAATGCCCTATGACTTTATGCTGATTCCATGATTAAACTTGTAACCCTATTTCATATGCAGGAGAAAGGGTGTACTTTGCCTCTCCTCTTGCTGCATGTTTCTTGCTGACAAGAACAGAAAGTGCTCTTAGGAAACTTCTCTGCTGTATGTCACCTGTGTGCCATAGAGAAAAGCAGAACTAGATAATTGCAAAATACTCTTTATTGCAAGATCGTCCTATCCTTACTCATCCTTTCAGCTACACAAGGGTGGCCCCACTATTTCCAAAAACAATTCACACAAGCTTTTTCCCAGATGCCCTGTCAAACCCCTTCGGAGCCTTGAGGGACACCTTGTTATAGAAACAAATTTATGGCCGCATCCAGATGAGCACAGGCATGTGGTATGTGGTGCTGCAGACCTGTCTGTGGTGCCACAC